TTTCTATTTTAAGACTTTTATGATGTATTTAAATTGGTAATTATGTTTGCAAACTCCATAGGAAATTTGAATAGAGAAATTGGGAATATAACCATATCTTGAGGGAAACATTTTTGTTTTAAAAGGGGAGGTGAAAAAAAGGGGAGGGGTAAAATGAAAATGTGTAGGAGGGGCATTTTTTTTTTTTAGAAATTGAAAAAAATATATCTTTTTTTTTTATTTGGGGGGGGGGGGGGTTCAATTTGCAACAGCAGTGTATTGCACAAAAGCAAAAAAATTAATATAAATTCAAATCATATAACCAATTCAAAGTTCTTTGACTACAGTTATTCTGTGTCAGAAACCTATTATGTGTCAAATATACAATTACAATCCAAATTCAGACCTGTATCAAGCGGGAATATTGTAATCCAGAAAAGCGCTTCGGACGCATGAAATTATTAAACGTGTTGTTTTTAATGTTTGTGTCCATTTTTGCACCAACTATTCAGGGTTGGACCACTGCAGTCGTATCCAGCTGCGCTCGGCGAAGCAATTTATTATGCAATGTAAACAAACACTTTATAATATATATTTTGTACAATAAGATTTTATTTTTGTTTTTTTTTTGTGTTTTTACGCAACTTTTAAGTACCGCGTTTGGGCTATTTCGTGGCGGTCAGTTTGTATTGGTGGAGGAAGCCGGAATTCCCGAAGAAAACCACCAACCTTTGATAGGAAAGATGACAATCCTAGTCAATTAAGATTGGAGTCGAGTGCACCCACACGAGCGGATTCGAACTCACAACATCAGTGTTGACCGGCCATTGGTTACAGTAGTTAGATATAGGAAGATGTAGTATGAGACTCAGTGCCAATGAGAGAACTCTCCATCCAAATCACAATTTATAAATGTAGACCATCATAGTTCAAGGTACGGTCTTCACCACGGAGCATAGGCTCACACCGAACAGCAAGTTATAAAGGGCCCCAAATTTACTAGTGTAAAACCATTCAAACGGGAAAACCAACGGTCTAATCTATATAAATAACGAGAAAAGTAACTACTTAGACCACTCGGACACCGAGGCTCCTTGTACAATAAGACCACTTTGCCCAAAATGATTACAAGTTCTTCTTTTTTTTGTGTCTGAATTCTGAATTGTCTAATTTACATTTAAGTGGCATTCTCACACAGATGTATGATTGTTTATGCATGTTTGAATATACAGTTAAGAATATATCATATAAGGTTAACATGTAGTGTACTACAGGCTAGGTTGCATGACAAAGTCTATACTTACTTTTTGAAATCCAAGCCTTCTTAATCGACTTCGCTTTAAATGCATTTACATATTTTTCCTTATTTTATCTAAACTTGGTTATCTAAATACACATTGTAATGTATAAGGGAGTGTCTTAAAATAGTCACATTACTGACAATAGAATAATTATGCATTTACTGTTCATACATTTTTAATATGGATCTCGAAAATAGTGGTTAGCTTTTTCCGTTATAAATTACAATTACTAAGTTATCCTATTATTGTTTATATAAATATTTATCATATTTACTGGAAAAGTCAGACATCGTTTTGCTATGCTGAAAATATATAGCCATGTGCATATCTTGTAAGAGCAAGTTAACAGATATATGTATTTGTATGACAGAAACAGTAACATGACCTCAAACTGACAAACATTTAAATGTTGATACAAACACGGAATGTTTCTATAAAGGAAATCTTAAAATACGTCTATTGCCGTATAGTTTAGTTTTTAACAGACCGTCACAGTTGAATTATTTCAGTAAATAATCTTAGGCTAAGAACATAATAATTTTGATAAATGCCTTACGTTAAATTGTTGTTTTCAATACATTCATTACGCTCTAATGTTCCTCAATATTATCCACCATGTTTTCCTTTAACATAAACCAAGATTTATATTTCTTTGTCATAAAAAACTGTCATCGTGTTCTTTCAGGTTTTAGAATACATAACTTAAGGAAAATGTAAAAACAAACAAAATAAATAAAACTAATGGTACAAGGACGTAACGTCTACTTTTTTTAAGATATCGCCAAGTAATTCAACACACATTGTTTAAATAAAACTTTTGAAAAGATTTAAGAATATGTTAGAATGAAATTTTAAAAAGATTTTATAAACTGTTTATCTTTTTATCTTTTGAATTGAGTATTGACTTCAATTAGTAAATTGTCAAAACTAAATCTGAATGGATAATGAATCTTTAATTGTGGGTTGCAGTTTTGCATTGTCGATTACCAAACACGTATTAATTAACGCACATCTTAATTCAACATTCAAAGTTTTTTAATTAAAACGTATGCATTTAATAGATATAAGAAGATGTGGTATGAGTGCCAATGTGACAACTCTCCATCCAAGTCAAAATTTATAAAAGTAAACCATTATAGGTCACAGTACGGTCTTCAACACGGAGCCTTGGCTCACAACGGACAGTAAGCTATAAAGGGCCCCAAAAATTACTAGTGTAAAACCATTCAAACGGGATTTAAGCTCATTTATCTATCTTGGTTTTTTTGACGAGTTTATTTATTGTTATTTTAGATTGAAACTGATGTTGGTTTTTTTCCAATAAAAAAAAAGAATTTACTGTAAGATTTATTTCAATCACGTAACGGTGCGATAAGAATGATTTTTACCGTTAAAATAATAGTTTTTCCAATTCCAAAGACAATTCTCAAGGTAGTACACCACAATGTTAAAATATTATTTAGAAAGCGAAAGTGCGATATTTTTAAATTGCATTATTTGTCTTAAAGTAATGTACTCCGAAGTAACTATGTTATTTGGTACACATGGTATTTCTTTAAAACTCATCATTATATTAAAATCAAATCATAGCGATTGTTACACTTTAATAATGAGTTTTATTACTTTCTATCATAATATGTACAATGAGTTCATTTTGGGAATTTACATTTCGAGTACAATATAGTATGGAACATTTTTTTTTAACTTCTTTTGTTGTCGATATTGATTTGACATACTTCACTAAGTGATTTAACCACTGAGTTTCTGTGGTTATTGCCTTGCGTTTTGTAGACTGCTTTTAATCATTTCACGTCAGAAAGTGTATGATCAAAATCATCTATTTAAAGAAATGATGAAACCTTAGTCCTTAACACAATTTACAAAATATATCAACGAAGAACTTTACTGAGTGTCCCTCTAGATTTCTTTTTCGATTCTCTTTTATCAACATATGTTATAAATCATATAAAACCTTAGTCCTTAACAAAATTTACAAAACATATCAACTAAGAACGTTATTGAGTGTCCCACTGGAATTATTCGTCTCTCTTTTATTAACATATGTCATAAATCATGTCAGAACCGGAGCAATAATTCCTTATCTGTTTATACACTCGGTAAAAGCATTCCACCTATAGCAGGATCAACATATTGGTAGTTAATGACAATTTCTTTTAATTACTTTCTTGCATCCGAGACAGAAATATACTAACTATTTGAAACTCGAACTTTATAGCTCCGAGTGATTCTGATCATTTCTGTGTTACTCGTTGCAAGCTTTTCTATATTTGAATTCTTTGATTAGTCATTCTATAATTCGTTTTTATATTCATCTAAATCACAAACACTATGCATCAACTGTTTTTTCCCAAATATATCCCTACCCCAGGAGTCTGCATAACGTAGCTGACGTGGCACATCATTGTGCATTTTCATTTAAAACAGCTTATAATGTAATACGTTCCTCGAACCACTTTCTACTCCAGGCACAGATAGCTGCATTTAGATTGGCAGAACTTATTGGAATTTTAATGTTTTTTGTCTTAATATTTTTGTTTGGCATTCAAACTGTTTTATCAAGCGCTACTTAAGTGTGGATACAAGTTACAATGGAAATTTGTCTTTGTATATAACCTAAAATAAGATCCCAAGTTGACCTCATCATTTTACCTTATAAAATCTTATAAAAATTATAAAAAATATACTTGTAATGCATACCGGGTAATGTTTTATTTTTATTTCTTATTTTTATACGACCGCAAAAATAAAACAAATTTGGTATCACGTCGTCGTCGTCGTCATCGTCAGCGTCGTCCGAAGACAGATGATTTCCGGATAATAACTTAAGTATAAGTAGATAGAAATCAATAAAATTTTAACACAAGGTTTATAACCACTAAAGGAAGGTTGGGATTGATTTTGGGGGTTATACACTGCATAATAGTTTAGGAATTAGGGGCCAAAAAAGGGGCCCAAATAAGCATTTTGTAGTTTCCAGACAATAACTTGTGTTAAAGTGTATGAATCTCTCTGAAATTATATACAAGTTTCAATTCTACAAAGGGATGGTTAGGATTGACTTTGGGGGGTTATGGCTCAAACCATTTAGGAATTAGGGGAAAAAAGGGAAAAAAAACAAGGGTGTTTCTGCTTAAAGGACAATTGAGACATTTAAAAAGCAGTGTAAAGGAGGTAATCCAAATAGAATATGTTTGATTACCTTTTACCTCGCTTTTAAATTATGTATAAAGAATTTTTGTAATTTTGAGGTAAAGAAGTTACTATTAAATTTATGATGATAAGGAATATTGATTTTAGCCATGGTTTTGTATGTCATTTTCTATTTTTAGACTTATTTAAATGGGTAACTATGGTTGCAAATTCCAATGGAAATTTGAATTGAGATTATGACCAAACTTAAGGGAAATATTTTTTTGTTTGGAAAAAAGGTGGGGGAGGTAAAAAAAAAAGGGGAAAAGGGGGGGGGGGTAAAAAAGAAATGGTGGGAGGGGATAACAATATTTTGTAAAAAAAGGGGGGGTAATTTTTTTTTTTGTAATTTCTTGATTAGGGTTGTTTGGAACAAGGGTGGTGGATAAAAATATTTTGTAAAAAAAGAAGGGGGTGGTAATTTTTTTTTTTTTTTGGTGGGATTATTTGGGAAAAGGGGGGAGGTGAAAAAAGGGGGTAGTTTTTTTTAGGGGGGGGGGTTGTCAATTCGCAACAGCAAAGTGAATTGCACAAAAGCAAAACATTAAGGATAAATTCAAATCATATAACCAATGCTAAGTTCTCAATGGTTTTGTTATAAAGAAATGTTCTATTCTTTTGAGGTGATTAGCTGTCAATTTATTATTAGAACTTGTATTAAATGCTGATAAAGGAATTTATTTTTAGATATTACTATTAAATTTTGTTGATCAAGGTTTTTATTTTCATCCATGACTATGATGTCATTTTCTATTTAATACTTTTATGATGAACTTAAATGGGTTTGGTTTGATGAAGGAATGTATTTTTAGATATTACTATTAAATTTTGCTGAACAAGGTTTTCTAATTTTAGCCATGACTATGATGTCGTTTTCTATACTTTTATGATGTATTTAAATTGGTTTAGTTTTTTTGGCATTAGAGTTACCTCCCTTACAATGGTTTTGTATAATTTTCTAACCATGCAGGAATTAAGTGCAAAAAAAGAGCCAAAACAAGCATTTTAAAAGTTTCCAGACAATAACTTATGTGAAAGTGTATGGATCTCTTAAATTGTACTACAAGGTTCCATACTACAAAGGAAAGACTGGGATTGAGTTTGATGGTTAATGCTCCAAGGGGGATTCAAAAAGTTTGAAAGGGGTGTTCCAATATTTTTTTTCAACATTTTTCAAATTTCAAATTTTTGAAAAGTTACAAGAAGAAATCTTCAATTGCAAAGTATTGCGCATTAAATTTTTAAAATCTTTGACCACATTTATTTTGTGTCAGAAACCTATATTATGGCAAAAATTTGATCACAATCCAAATTCAGATAGTATCAAGCTTGAATAATGTGTCCAAATTTGTTCAGGGCTAGGCCACTGCGGTCGTATCAGGCTGCGCTCAGCGAAGCATTTTATTTTGTTTTGCTTTCAGTTTTTACTGCACATATCTAGAACTGTATCTCCAAACACACAGTATAACACAACTAATTCCAGAATACAAAATGATCACTGCGAAAACTAGAACACCGAAATAATGTGAAGCCAACGAAATGGACTAATTGATTATGTTTAAGAATAATATTGTTTTGAAGTCGGTTAACTAAAAAATAGTGTTAGCCATGAATCAAAGTGAACGTTCCAATTTTTACAAATCAATCACAGGAATTGGCATAGCAACTCAGTCAGCATGCCATGTGTTCGAACAGTACTTGACTTCAAAGAAACAATCACTAGAAGATTTCATTAATCATCACCGGCATGATATATGCCATTTATGTTACAACAAAGTTAAATGTCCTCATTGTACTACAGGATACCAGCTCCCCTATGAAAAAGTGCTCTGTTTAGACCAGCTGGACGATTTGTTTGATTCTGGCTCAAAATTACCATGCCATATATTAGGAAACCTTCCAAAATTCTACTGTTGTAAAAGTCGAATTAGGATTCAAATAAAGGATTTAGATTTGACATTAATACGCTGTCTTCTTGTTAATTTCTGTCAAGAATTATTTTTGATCGATTGCTTAAAAGCAGGGACTTTTGAGGACTTCTTGAACAAAAGTAAACATGACATATTTCATATGTGGCAGGTGAAACAAAACTGTTGCCAATGCCACGCAGGATACACACCGTGTGAAAAGAGAAAGTTGTCAGAATATGAATGGAAAAGACTGTTTAACAATTCAATAACTCCGTGCAACTTCCATACACATGTTTCACGCCCAAGTCCATGCTCTGTCGCAGCTTCTAGTGGTATCATGTTGCAACAACTAAACAGTAAATTGAGAATCACTTTACTGGATTTTTGTGAACTGAAGAAGGATCTGGAAAAACTAATTAAACTTCGAAATAATATCCAGGGACATCGGGCAGCACGTGAGATGACGCATATGGCTGATGCAGAGTTCAATGACAGATGGATGGAAATAGAGGACGTCACATGTAATTTGATTCGGCATGGCATTCAGGACACTTATATTGCAACTCAAATCGAAGATGAACAAATAAGAGAACTGGTAACTCTGAAGAATAAAATACTAGATGGTAAGTTTAATTGGTACATTAAATTTAGAAAACATTACGTGAATGAGCGTTAGCGCTCTTGTTATGATTTCGAGTATGGATTTATAGATATCAAAAGATATTGAAAGATAGATAAAATTGAGAATGGAAATGGGGAATGTGTCAAAGAGACAACAACCCGACCATAGAGCTCGAGCAGACAACAGCCGAAGGTCACCAATGGGTCTTCAATGCAGCGAGAAACTCCCGCACCCGGGGGCGTCCTTCAGCTGGCCCCTAAACAAATATGTATACTAGTTCAGTGATAATGGACGTCATACTTAACTCCAAATTATACACAAGAAACTAAAATTAAAAATGATACAAGACTAACAAAGGCCAGGGGCTCTTGACTTAGGACAGGCGCAAAAATGCAGCGGGGTTAAACATGTTTTTTTGAGATCTCAACCCTCCCCCTTTACCTCTAGCCAATGTAGAAAAACAAACGCACAACAGTACGCACAATAAAACTCAGTTTAAGAGAAGTCAGAATCCGATGTCAGAATAGGAAACAAAAGAAAATAAACAAAATGACAATAATGCATAAATAACAACAGACTACTAGCAGTTACTGACATGCCAGCTCCAGACCTCAATTAAACTGATTGAAAGATTATGTCTTCATCATATGAATATCAGGCACAATCCCTCCTGTTAGGGGTTTAGTATTATACCATCATAAAATATATGAGAAGAACATAACCCGTGTCATGCCAACAACTGGTTTTAGAATAAATATGTTTAATTCCGATGCAAAGGCCCTATAAGTGAATCAATATTAAAGCCAAAATATGCAATCTTTAATGACCTGACAACAGTATCGTAACTATATCCCTTCTTATTAAGTCTGTTTAAAGGTTTTGTTAGCTTTTGAGGTGCATACTGACATTTTTGTGCTTTGTAAAGAATATTACCATAAAAGACTGGATGTGAAATACCCGAACTTATAAGATGTCTGCATGTTGAGTTATATTTACGAATGATGTCCTTATACCGATGATAAAATTTAGTAACTGTTTTGACTAGTTTATGATATCGAAAACCCTGGTGTAATAATTTTTCAGTAATACATAAATTTCTCTTGCTAAAATCTAATACGTTGTTACAAACACGAGCGAATCGTACAAGTTGAGATATATAAACACCATGCATGTATTAAGAAAAATAGAAACACCACTCCAAACAACAAATATTTCCTGGATAATTTTTGAAGAAACTCGGGTTTAAAATTAGTTTAAAATATTTATCCCTTCCAAAGTCATCAATTTATAAACTTTTAACAATCTTTCGTATCAGTATTGTGTATGTCTCCGCCGAATGATATTTCATATTCATACTGCTGATTACCACCACACACAAATCTAGTCTAAATATGGATGGCGTCACCTTTAGCTGTTCTCGAGTTTTGTCCCTTTAACAATTGTGACAAAATTGGTAAATTCGCGTTCTTTTACTTCACATAGCTTTAACCAAATGTTACGAAATATTTAACACAAATACCATTAAGCACAAATCCATTTTAAAATCAGGTGAAAACTTGTTCACTGTCATTAGTAAATGAAACAAATGCTAAATTTGTCATTTCCAAACTCTGATATAAAAATAAGATAATGTATGATTGTCAATAAGATACTCTCTACACCAAATATCACATAACATATAGGTTAACAAAAATTCATTTACTTCCTTCAACAATGAGCAAAACCCATAGCGCATAGTCAGCTATAAAAGGACCCGAAATGACAATACTAAAACTATGCAAAGGCAAAAAAACTCACAGTCCTGACTCATGTACAAACCAAAGAACGTATAACAAATGATACACAGAACCATACGACAACCACTGAAATACAGGCTTCTGTATTAGGACAGGCACATACAGAATGTGGCGGGGTTAAAATGGTTTGAAGGCGCCAACCATCTCCCTTACCTAGGATAATGGTTTAACAGCAGAACTCAAGAACTAACTAGGCAAACAAATAAACGATAAACAAATAAAACACATATAGAATGTGGTAATGTTAGACTAGTTTTTTACGCTTAAGCCAATTCGGGATTGTCACAATAAGACATACGAACAGACTATAAAAATCAGTTGAAAGGGCTTACATCATCAGATTAATACAAGCAGAAAGACATCTAACAAAAAGACAGACCGGACGTAGTATTTAAAAAAACACTTATCACTAATTGTAGTTTGTCATAACCCAATGTTTTGAAACCCCTATACAATGTTTATTTCCACCAAATACAGACCAAATTCGAATATGGGTGGCGTCAGTGTTCGCCATTCTCGAGTTATGTCCCTTGTTCGAAGGATTAATTGTTTGATTTGCCGTTTCCGACCTTAGCCTCAATTAATTGTTATGAAACTTGCACATAATGAACCGTACATACCTAGTATCAGCACTGCATATTACAACCAAATACGGATCCATTTCGAATTTCGAAATTAAATTATTTTATGTTTTTTTATATGCCAAATCGTACCATGTATAAGCACTTTGGATTTTGGGATCCCGTTATAAAGTTGATCCACATTCAGGTTCAAAGGGTCCAAAATTAAACTTTTATTGATTCCATCAAACATTAATATTGCATTATTCGAAATCTTTGATACACTGAGCATTGAGGTATCTAGATTTAGATGTTAGGCAGTAATAGGTAAATGCCAAATTTATTTCACATATTTGAGTTTTTAAACCGCTTTTATTCTGTGTCAGACAACTATGCTGTGTCAAATTCTTGATAACAATCCAAATTCAGTGTTGTTTAAGTTTTAATGTTGTGTTCATACTTGTCCCAGCTATTTATAATTCGACCTCTGTAATCGTATCAAGCTGTGCAATCAAAATTATCATGGATAGAGAGAAACTGTTAGCATGAATGTTTATGATTGGACAATATCATAATTACAATTGTTGTTTTATTGGTCTCCGATTTTTAAAGACTGTTTTAATTAGAAAGATTGTGGTTGGTCATTTAAGTGAAGGAGTAAGGGTGAACTGAAAAGATTTTCGTAACATACATTGTGTAGCATTATTAAGGTAAAAAAAATAATATGCTCATGGAACTTAAAAAGCGACTCGTTTGTTTTGTTTTATTAAACGTTAACGATATCAATTATCTGTACATGTGAAAATAAGCTTAGTCTAGTGGTTTCTGAAGAAAAAAAAATAGGCTGCTTATAAAATGATTTTTTTTTATAAAGGTTAACGATTAAGGCTCTAATATAAAAAAAGAAAACGAAGATGTGATATGATTGCCAATAAGACAACTCTCCAACAGAAACAAAATGACACAGAAAGTAACTACAGGTCAATGTACGGCCTTAAACAATGAGCAAACCCCATACCGCATAGTCAGCTATAACGGGCTAATGATCTCATGTTTGTGGTTATTACATGTCTCACTGTTGCAACATATTCAAAACCGTTCTGCTGTTTGACATATACACTGTTCAATAAAGTGAACTATGATTTCTAAGACTTATTAGATTCCGTATTCGCATAAATGTCAAAAAAACTAGTCCATTTTTAGAACTTGAGCATATGCTTTAGTAGGTATTTTATAAAAATACATATTACCAATTCATACATTTTTAATATTTATTTGTGATTTTTTTTGTTTTCTCATTCTGTTAAATGTTTAATTTATTTCAGATTTAGAAGAAAAAAGAAAACAAAGAATTGGTATGTTAACATCTATTCATAAACGATGATTTAGATTGTTGGTTTTGTGTGGCCTTGCATATATTTCATATCTCCTTTTATTCATGTTTGATTCAAATTCTAAGAATCATACAAAATGCAATATATTTGATTGATTATGAATGCTACAAACAGAAGCCAAATTTTCGTAGACAGCAATTTAATGATAAAATGTCAGCAGTGGTAATGTGTGCTTTCTGTTTGACAGGCTCCATTTGCCCTTTAATTTATTTTCAAGAATTGTTATCGAGTACGTATAGTTATGAGATACTGCTGCATGTATTAAGTTATCTATATTTGGTGTACATAATCCGAAAACCGTGGTCCATTTGTAACCTTTCGTTATCGTAATTAGGTTCATTTCACACATACTACAATTGAAAAAGATAGTAAGGTGTATCGGTTTATGTCCTAAAGGAACAGCGCTGGTATTGTTGGTCTAACTGCACGTGCTAGATTGTCACAGGCAACGATTCTGCTTCAGAAGCCAGAACACGACCGGTGTTTACTTTTGATACAGGAGGTATAGGATTCACGTCACCCACTTCAGATGCCATATGTCATCATTTCGCTCAATTTTTATTTAATGACTCTTTCATGATGACTTGATTTGATATATTTGTTTATTTTGCATTATATTAGAAATAACTATACTGTTTCAAGATTTATAGACGTAGTTTTATTGTCATGTTTCTGCTTTGCTTCGACAGGAGAATTCAATTGGTGCCATTATAACTGACAATGGACGTCTGCAAGCTTGAAATACAATTCAATTATCTCGAAAAATAATCGAAAGTTAAAAAAACACAAAATGTGATCGCAATGTATCTACAACAAAAAGGCAAAATGACCGATTTATTATTTGATTCCTTTCACATGGATAATACCACATGGCTTATAATTGGTTGTTTAACTTTAAGCGTAACTCTTTTTCATTGTGTCAAATCTTTAATCAACAGTAATGGATTTGCATAGATCGATAGTCAGGGCTGCGATCCTGACATATGTGTGTGTAATTATTCGTTGTTACATTTATATGACTAAATGGAATCGTCTGACGAATTGTTTGTGGCAAAAGCTTATATGCATGGTTTTTTCATAAGTTGTAATTGACTTTGAACTAGCTGTCAGTAATTGCGAGTATTTTAAGATTTATAATTAGTATCTTCTGGTTTTGATTTTGGTCTAAGTATCCGTCCACGTTCACTTTCTGTTATTGTTGAATGTAATTCTATTTATATACATTTGATGAGTTGAGCCTTTTCCAACTGATTTTTATACTTTGTTCTTGTGTTGTACTGTTACACCACTGTCTAATGAAAGTGAAGGATTGAGTGTCCACAGACATGTTTAACCAAGCAACATTTTTATATGTCTGTCCTAAGTCGGGAGTCTGTAGTCTGGTGGTTGACTTTAATTCATGTCTATCTTTTTTGTTTTTTCGTAAAATGTTTTGGTATAAATTAGGCCGTTAGTTTTCTCCATTGATTTGTTTTTTTCCATGTAGAGGGTTTTTAGAGCCGAACATATGGTATTGGTTTTCCTCATTGTTGACGGCCGTACGTTTGCACATAATTACTAACATCCACTTCATTTGAACATTATTTTTATATAGTTGTCAATCTTATTATTTTTCTTGCGTTTTTGACCTTTTATCAGAACTGACTATGTTTGCATAACAAGCAAATGTTTCACAATTTGAAAACAAGGCTAGTTTCGGTACTTTTGATTTTTCTTTTAATGGCTAACAGCAATTGATCGAATTATTCCTCGAAAAATATGCAATATTTGATCGTGTTTTTTTGGGTTTTTTTTTTGTCATCAGAGAATTATTTCCCAATATAACATCTAAGTTTGTTGTTAAATTTTTAATCAAGTATTCGTTACGAAGGTGAGGTGAATAGTAAATCTTTTAAAAGTGAGGACAATAAAATGTTTCTTTCATGATCCGTAAAGTTCCCTGAAATAACTTGGAAAAAGATATTCATGAGAACTAAAAACAAATTTTCCCAGTTGATGAGCAAAATCTCATGAATTATATGAATAGCTTTAGAAAAGCATTTTGCAAATTTTGTTGTTGTTGATGCTGCTGCAAATGTTTTCAACAATATGATATGGATTGAAGAGCTGTTGTCTTTCTTCATTTGCATAAAATATAGGTCCATATTATTACGTTATCATGACAGTAAAACCCTCTCTATTTCATGCGTAAATTTTGATTTAAAGCATTTCCTGTAGAATGAGGTAACTAGGACATGAAGGAGAAGTTCTAAAACAAGCATTGACTTCGACATTATATGGGCTTTAATGTACCTTCTCCTTTGAATCAATTAACATTTCCCTACGTTATAGAACAATTAAGTGAAATCAATCGTATGTTCATATTAAATAGCTTACATGTACTTTACAATATTAGCACACGGACAAAAACTGATATAGTATGACTCAAATTTTTGTCAACTTTTTGGCTGATTTTGATCGAAACGATCCGGTGACATCTTGTAAGAGTTATCTACCTTACCACAATAAATTTATCATTATAGTTTTGTTACTCTTAAACCATGTAACCCGTGAGCTGTACAAACCTACAGTCTTTTTATCTAAGGATTTTGGTCCTAGCTTAGAAAATGTGATAAAGGTTATTTTTCTCAATTTTGATTTTGCCTTTTTTAATCATCTCTTGTTATGTGGAACGGAAGATCAGCCATAATTTTGAATTTCTAAATTTGTACAATGTAATTTATTTATTTCTTTATTTGTAACATGCACTTTCTTAATTTGTAAAATGTAATTTCTTAACTTGTAACATGATGGTTTTTAACTTGTAGTTTTTCTTTAGAGAAACGGAACTTTTTATTGGCTGTCAGTGGTAACAATTGCACTGCAACGAACTCCCAAAACGTGACTCATAAAAAGAAACAATTTACATTTCACAATTAAGAAATGTATAAATTCATGTAACGAACGAAGAAAATGGTGAAAAAATGCCATTTGTTTGCATTAAAATATCTTTTTTATCTCAACAGTGACCTATATTTGTTATTATTTTTTTCAAATAAGGTGTACTTAAACTAGACAATTGTAAAATGTAAGAGGTTTCTGTAATTCAGCTCTTTTTTATTTCGATATTACCAATAATGTTCCTATTAGTTCTACAGAACAAAGTACCTTAGCAAAAATGCTTGCTTCTTTCAAACGCAGATTGTGAGTTTAAATGAACGGTGATCCCATTTTTTAATTTCATTTTTCTATTAAGAATATGATTAAGTTCATTTATAGAAGAAAACAGCGAAATCCTATATTTAAAAAAAATGAATTTATACCCTCGAGCCCCCTTAATTGATAAGTATGACCATATCAATGATAATTCATATCAACACAGAAATACTGACTAACAATAAAAGTGTTAGAGGAGATGATTAAAAATTGAAAAACTAAAATTGAGAATATGACCTTAACCTCTGATCTTGAACACATTTCTAATTTAGGACTAAAGTACTTCAGATCAAATGACTCTTGATTTATACAGCTTAAGATTTATAAGTAACAAAAACATAACAACAAATGTATATGGTATAGGTAGATAACTCCTACAAGATTTCACCAGGTGGTTTTGAACAAAATCTGCTAAAATTCCTGAAGATATAACTAACAATTAAGAAACAAAAATTTATGTTTTTGATATTTTTTTGTTGTTACGAAAGAGCTACAATAACTAGAAAAAATTACTCCTGCAAAAGGGGAGTTTCAAAAACTGTTTGATATAATATCCAAAACATCTAAGCGATATCTTGCGAAAACAGTTTGTATCGCAAGAAAAGGGTTTGGCGAACAACTGAAAAAATAATGACCAGAACAAAATTGAAGGGTTCATCCACAGAAAGGTGAAAGGACGTAATAATAATCAGAACAAAGGCAAAAGGTCTTTCCAGGAAAACGTTGAAAGAACTTATGATACTACGTTTGAGTCGCACTATAACAGTTCTCTCTTTGAGCTAAATTTTTAAAGAACCTGTGAGATATTTAAAAATTGACGAACGATTAATTTACCAAAAATGTTATATAACGTACGGAATTGCTAATTCAAAGGAGAAGGTACATTAAGCCCATATAAGGTCGAAGTCAATGCTTTTTTTAGAACTGCTCCTCATTTCCGCATGCTATTGGAAATACCTCAAATAAAGAAATATTCATGAATGAGAGAAGGTTTAGCTGTCATGATAACATATATGATTGTGCGTCTACTTTATACGCAAATGAAAATTAAGATTGTTACTAAGTAACTTGTTGAATTTGTATCTGTTTAACTTTTCAGCTTTAACAGAGTTAGAAATCGAGGGACAGATGAAAAGAAATAATTTTGTAAAGACCAGAGCTGTCGAGGAGGCTATCAAAATAGTGCAATCTCAGAACATGGTGGTACTTACAGGATCAGCCGGCTCTGGAAAGTCTGCAACTGCTATTTATTTATTGAGACATTTTCAAATGACCAAAAACTATCAACCCTTGAAAATATCAACGTTTACAGATCTTTCAATTCTTGTTAAACCAAATACTGACGAACCTGTCATTGTGCTTTTGGAAGACATATTTGGTCGAACAAATTACACATATGTGGAAAACAGTGATAGAAATGTGTTAGGCGAATTGGGTACATGCATGGGTAACAAATTGAAAGTTATCATAACAATACGGACAACAATAATGAAATCATGCATGTCCTTGTTTTACACAAGCAATGTGTTCTGTGGGCTTCATGTTGTGGATTTATCAAGGGATTTTCAACTAGTTAAAGCAGAGAAGAAAAGTGTTTTAGAGAGATATTTAGAGTTGAATAACATAACTGTATCGGAATGTGGAAACTGCATGGACGATCAATTACAAACAGATACAGCTGTTACTATCAACAATAAAGTTATAGATGAAATAGTACACTTAGATACTGTGAGTGGTTTTCCGGAAAATTGTCGTCTTTTTACAACCATTCGATGTTTTACAAGACTTGGTATCCACTTCTTCCGCCACCCTACTATCTCACTTAGAAATGAAATTGATGCTTTGAGAAGAGCAGACGGAAATGACAACATATCTTTCAAACTAAAGTCCAAGTTCACTACATTAGTATACATGCTGTTGAGTAACGACGTTCTGCGTAAGAAATCATTAGATTTCTGTAAAGTGCAAGACATTTTTAAATCTGTGAATGGTGGTGGTACAATTATGGAACACCAGTTTATTGATGCAGCTGATGATATGATAGACCAGTACGTGACATACAGTTCTCTAGAGAATGCGTATTACTTCCAGCACAGAATAATAGCAGAAGCTGTTATGATTTCCTACAGCAAATGTAACATATCACAGGTGATAAGTATGTTGAATCCTGACTTCATTGCTGAAATGGTGAAACCAGACTGTTACATAGAAAAAGAAGGTGAAGTGGTTTTCAAAATTCCATCAAATAATTATAGACATCTTGCAACCGTTATTAAAGACTTGCTGCTTCTAAAATCTATTGATGGATGCTTTATAGAGTATATTCTTTCAAAAAGTGAAATTTTTGAAAACGTGGAATTTCTGTATGCAATTGTAGAGACATTTGAATGTCTATTCAAACCAAAAGATTTTTTGTCATATGAAGATATTGAGTTAAAAAAACGTGCGTGTAAACTTTTGGACTTGACATTTAAAAAGACTGCTTCTTTGAATAATATAGATTGCTTGCATTTCATCTGGAAAATATTTGCCAAAAAATGTATAACAACCCCGTCTTTTGTACTTTCAATGTGCAGCGTGTTCATTAGATTTGATAAAGAAAAATATCAGAAGGAGTTACTGGAATGGATGGTTTTGAATAGCAATCAAATGTTTATTGAACAGTGTTTGGAAAAGACATGTTGCTATCAATCTCATTTCCTGGAAACATTAGTAGATAATGAAGCTTTAATAAGTAAATTGAATGAGGTCTTGTATTCACCTGGAGACAATAATGTCCAACAAATAATCATTAACCATGCATGTCAACTAGGCAACTACGAAATCTTTCTTATTATGATGAGAAGATATGGCGACGATATCAACTTAGGAGAAATATTTCTGAGAGCATGCTCTAATGATTTTGATGACATAACAATTGTGGAATGGCTTATTGATCATTACGATTTTAAACTATTGAATATGCAACAGGCTTTTGAAAATATTTACAAATTTTGGAATATTTACAAGAATATTATAAAATCTATATTAAAAAGTAGTGCAAATAACGACAATGAATTCACAAATAAGCTTTTAATTGAAGCTTTCAAAACTGGAAATCTAGAGTCAGCTGAGTTTCTAAGACAAAGAATCGATCTTCGAACATTTGATATCAGAACAGCTGTATATATGGCATGGAACAATCATGTATATGAAATAATTGAATGGTTACTAGAACAGTCACGTGTTATGCAGATATCGTCACAAATTGATGAAATACCAGTTATACGAATTATGAAATGGAGAAACCTACCTCAGTCAAGTAACATAAGACAAGTGCTAGACGATTCAATATTGTCAGGAGATTATGGAATGGATCTCATAACAGAAGGAATTAAACCCAATAGAATAATAGCGTTAAAAGTATTCAAAGTTGTAGCTAAATCTAGTGGTGACAGGCAACAAACCTTCGTCCAATCGTGTCATCGAACAAATTTTAACATAGAAGGTGTCTTCCTTGATGCATGTAAATCAAAAAACCTTGAGGTGCTTGAAATGGTTTTAAATTATTATGACGAAGACACATACGGTCAAATAATAACAAAAGCGGGTGAAGACTTTTATAGCATTAACTTTTATAATGTCTGTCAGTTCTCAAAGTTGCCTTCCGTTATTTTTCAGAATACGCCGATTGATTTTCTTCACAAAAATCCTGGCTTGTTTCCTATTGCAGTTAAAGAAGGAGATACTGAGACAGTTAAAATATTTTTGAACGAAATAGATTGTAAAAAGCTCAAGGCTGATGAGGCATTCGGCTACTCTTTGGATAATCGAACATTACAAGTCACTAAATTATTGTTAGATAATTTTCCAATTTCAGACTTTAAGATATCTACACATCTCATTAAAGTTATCGAAGCAGGAGAAAATGAATGTTTTCAACTCATTCTCCAAAATGTAAATATCGATTTATTAGATATTAATGAATTACTCAATGTGATAATCACTAATGGAAAATGCAAAGGCTTGTTGTTGGACGTTCTTCAAAGAAATATTTCTAAGCTCATTCTACAGAGCAAATTGCAGAATAAATTCTTTCTAGCATTAAAAAATGAGGATTTAGAAGTATTTGAATTTCTCTTGCGAAACGTAGATCATGAAAATATTGATGCCAAAAAACTCGTTATTAAAGCATTGCAACAGGGGAAATTTAACTTTGCACTTCTACTTTTGAGAAAGGTTAGTGTAAATGAACTAAACATGAAGAATGAAATAAAAGATGCACTTATAAATTCTATTAGTTTGGAAGATAAAACGTGTGCACGACGAATACTCATGAACTTTCCGAATGTGAATTTCAGAAAAATTTTGACATCTGCAACAAAGGATGGAGATGTATCGATTATAAACGATATAATAATGAAACGGGATGAAGACTTTACATTTGAAATTAAAGAATATATGTGGATTGCCATTCATCATAGACAGCCAATAGCCTTAAAGTTTTTTATGGAACACAGTAGTTACATTTGTAACTTGGATGTTAAATCAGAATTTATTGCCTTTGCAGAAAAAGGCAAAACCAGGATATGTGAGTTATATTTGAAAGTGATTGATACTTATAATACTAGATTTACACTAACATCCAAAGATAAAACTGTAATGAACGACGAAATTTTCAGTCTATTTGAACTTAGTTTTGTAGATGACCACATCGAACACCAACGTATGTCACGATTACATCTGATAGACTTACTAGATTTAATGAAGTTATTAGAATTGGCGTGTTGTGCTCTGCACGAATGTGATTTTTATAATAACGAAAAGTGTTGCGCTAGCATGATTTTGATTAATTTCAGTGAAGATATTGTGGATGGATGGATTACAATAAGGCATTTAAATCGTTTTTACTTACAACGTATATTTTCTCATGTATGCCATAAATGTAAAAAAGGAAAACAATATAGTGCCATAGTTTCAAAATTTGAAAAAAGGTATGGCACTTTATTCCATGAAATATCATAGAACAAAGGTCAACGAGTATGGTACACGTAGAATATTTTTGATAATTGACGACCATGGTAAGTGATATTAAGAAAAGTTATAGGACATACTGTTCAAACGAAACGGATGTAGTATTTCTAATTTTTCAATAGGTAAACTCATTAAATGTTTACTGGATTGCTTATCTCAACTTCATCAAAGGATTAAATCACTATGTGAAAGTTGCTGTCAACATTTATGCTATATGTTATTTTAATCAAGCAGCTAGGCCTAACAATGTAAGATTTCATATTACAATATTAAAGCAAGCTTGGTTGATTTTATAGTCGTATTGAGTTACATTACTGCCAAACAAATACATGGAATTATGAACATGCTTGAACGAGTAAGTAACCTGTTGGAAGAAATGTACAATCAGTACTTGTAGCAAGCTTTTTGTGACATGATATGAAAACAGTGTATTCAGACATATTGGTCATAAGCGTTAATAATGTCCCTGGTTTAGTTACAGAAGGATGCAATGTAAACGTTTTGGAATAATTTAACAAAACTGCATGAATGCCAGCCTTAACATAAAAGAAGCCATGTTCATGTTTTTCTTACCGTGAATGCCTTCGAAGAAGTAGATTTGATATAAACTAAAATACACCGAAATTTCCATTTTAACACTGAATATGTTGGAGATCAGAACTTACATTTTTGTAGTTCCTTGCACGCTAAAATACAAGAAAAGAATCAAATTCAAATCAAAACGTAGTGAAAGAGAAACAAACATAATTGCCGAACAAGTGTGTTTAAATAGTAATCACCTTTACGATTTAATAGTGTGCTGTGTACTTTTTGTTTTCGGTTATAGTTTGCAGTATTGTTTATATAGTTTATATACGAGTCTAAATTCCCGTTTTAATTGTTTTACACTAGTATTTTTTTACCCTTTATAGCTTGTTGTACGGTTTAAGCACAAGGCTCCGTATTAAAGGCCGTAATTTGAAATATAATTGCTAACTTTTTACACATTGTGACTTGAATGGATAGTTGTTTCATTGGTACTCATACCACCTCTACTTATTTATAATTAATATTACATAATTTAGCCCAAAAAGTGCTAGAAGACAATACGATAAAATTTTGATTCCACGGTGATTTTTTACGAAAATTTGCTTAAAAGCTATTTTTCATCTAAGTATTTTAAATATGTAATGAAAAATACATGTTCATGTGCTACTTTTAGATACAGATTGGGTCAAATGTTAGACATTTACTAAAAAATATTTTTCTTGGACATTTCTCTCCTTTTGACATACCATTTGCACTGCACTTCCACACAATCTTATCAAACAAAAGTTTTCCTATTAAATTACATGGTCGTTTGGTAAATCTGAATGCAAATATACTTTCTCCAACTCATTTAAAACCTTCTTCTCTAATAAGAAAGGTACATATGCTGGATATAATTACTGGAGGTTAAATGAGATGAATGAAGCTGCTAATTTTCTCCTTGATAGTATTGATGTACGTTTCAGCAATAAGGTTTATCGATAGGTTGTAGATAATCCTATGGGCACCAATTGTGTCCTTTTAATAACAGACTTGTATTGTTATGAATCACAGTTTATGACCAAACTCAGTAAAGACCCATTTAAATTGCATTTAATTGATGAATTCAACAACACTTACCATTATTTTGATGATATTTTGCTCGTTAAATAATCATGAGTTTTCTAAATATACTGCCGAAATTTACCCAAAGGAACTTACTTTAAATAAACCAATTTTAAACGGTAATTACTGTCTGTTGTGACGTTTTGTATTTTAATCAACGTAATCTGGTAAATTATTAAGTCATGTATTTCGTTATAACAAATAACTTAAAACATTTACTAAATTCTTCTATACGTATAAAGTTTTGAAGATTGGTTGAAACTGAAGAATACTTCATACAGGATAGCACATCCTCATGTTTACGGAGATGTTGATCGATATAGGAACGATCCTGGTAAAGTTGTCGATGATTAGAATAAACTTATTCTTAAAGGTTACCAATTCAAAACTGTAATTGGATCATTGAATATTGTTTTTATTCGTATTAAATATTGATTTTATGATCAGTTAATTAAAATAAAACTAAATATTATTTGTATATACATATGCACATACATGGCTTTTCAACATGTCGATACATGTATATTGGCATTGCCCAAGATCATGTTTTTCTCTGACTGTTTTAGACGTCTTTACACTTAACCCATTAATTTGGATGTGTACCGATTGAAAAGTTAATCTTAGGTGCATGATTTTTTTTAAGAGGTGTTATTAGCTTTAACTAGCTGTCAGTAATTGCAAGTACTCTCAGATCTGCACTCAGTGTTTTTGTTGTGGAGATGTATAAATACCCGTCCACGTCCACTTTTTTGTTTTTTGTTTTAGTTAGATGAATTTCTATTTGTATCTATCTGATGAGTTAAAGAGTTTAAACCCTTTTAAATTATGTTTATAGTTTGTTCTTATGTTGTATTGTTACACCACTGTCCACGGTAAGATAAAATTGGCGCCCTCAAAAGTGTTTAACCCATTCAAATTATATAAGTGTCTGTCCAAAGTAATTCAGTGGTAATCGTTTGTTGATGTGTTACATATAACCTTAATGGGATTCGTATTATTTCGTCTTCAGTCCATGTGATGAATGTGTTTGTCCAAGATATCTAATTATTTTTCTACATGGATAGATACGGTCCTTAACAATTGACAAATGACTACATCACTTCTTGATCCATTACATTTTATATTTGTATTCTCTGTTTTTACCTGTAATAATACATATGCGTCAGTACATTATCATGTATAGAATAATATTATACTATCATTTTGTTTATTTTTTATTGTATTTATTATTATCAATCATATTGATAATGATTTATAAGCTTCAGTAATGTTTTCTGATTATTGTTATTATTATTGTTATTAATAGTTGTTAATATTTAGTGATATGCATTTATGACCATCATCAAATGAGAATACCCAAAATTGTTAAATCGAGAAATGATTATTTATTTATTTTGAATTGAATATGAAGATATGATACTTATGTTGCATGTCTTGTATTTTCGAAGTGTTTTTAAGGGTTTTTTTTATTGAAGAATATTTTCGATTTCTTATTGGCAAGAGAAACAAAACTTTGCTTCCGCAAATTTGCAGATTCAACATTGTTGTGCTTGTATTTAGAGTAATTATGAATATAATATGTGTTTTCAGACTAAGAATCACCTTCACTGGTGATCCGATGGACAAATCTGTCGTAGATTTGTCATTTGTTTAGAAGTACTTATATACAAATGTATATAACAAACAAGTACAATGATTAAAAAATTACAAAGGAAACATAGTCGGAATTACATAAAGAAGAGATACATTACATTTCAAACTCTACATTTCTATGGTTTATCTAAAATTCACAAAAGTGAGGAAATTGTAAATGCTGTATCAGTACAGAACCGTGAATGCATCGAACTTTTAAGACCAAATGATTTGAAATTTCCACCTATTGGGTGTGGACCCAACAGCGTTACACAGAATGTTAGCCATTTTATAGACATTGTGCTTAAACCTTTATGTCGTGAAGTTCCCAGTTTTATACGAGACGAATTGGAATTTTAAAATCATCTTCCAAGAACTGTTAATCCTGATTCAGAACTCGATTACTTTTGATATTGTCAGTCTTTACAAAAATATCTCTCATGACTTAGGAATTACAGCCGTAAAATATTGGATAGAAAATACGGAAAACGTCATTGAAAACCGAATAACAAAGATATAATGGTCATAATTAGATAAAAATAAAAACAATAAAATTGAGAATGGAAATGGGGAATGTGTCAAAGAGACAACAACCCGACAACAGAACAGACAACAGCAGAAGGCCACCAACAGGTCTTCAATGCAGCGAGAAATTCCCGCACCCGGAGGCGTCCTTCAGCTGGCCCCTAAACAAATAAATATACTAGTTCAGTGATAATGAACGCCATACTAAACTCCAAATTGTACACAAGAAACTAAAATTAAAAATAATACAAGACTAACAAAGGCTAGAGGCTCCTGACTTGGGACAGGCGCAAAAATGCGGCGGGGTTAAACATGTTTATGAGATCTCAACCCTCCCCCTATACCTCTAGCCAATGTAGAAAAGTAAACGCATAACAATACGCACATTAAAATTCAGTTCAAGAGAAGTCCGAGTCTGATGTCAGAAGATGTAACCAAAGAAAATAAACAAAATGACAATAATACATAAATAACAACAGACTACTAGCAGTTAACTGACATGCCAGCTCCAGACTTCAATTAAACTGATTGAAAGATTATGTCTTCATCATATGAATATCAGGCACAATCCTTCCCGTTAGGGGTTTAGTATCATACCATCATAACATATATGAGAAGAACATAACCCGTGTCATGCCAACAACTGGTTTTTAAATAAATGTGTTTAGTGCCGATGCAAAAACCCTATAAGTGAATCAATATTAACGCCAAAATATGCAATCTTTAATGACCTGACAACAGTATCGTAACTATATCCCTTCTTAATAAGTCTATTTAAAGGTTTTGTTAGTTTCAGAGGTGAATACTGACATTTTTGTGCTTTATAAAGAATATTTCCATAAAAAATTGGATATGAAATACCTGAACGTATAAGAAGTCTGCATGTTGAGCTATATTTACGAATGATGTCCTTATACCGATGATAAAATTTAGTAAATGTTTTGACTAGTTTGTGATATCGAAAACCCTGGTGTAATAATTTTTCAGTAATACATAAATTTCTCTCGTTAAAATCTAAAACATTGTTACATACACGAGCGAATCGTACAAGTTGAGATATATAAACACCGTAAGATGGTGACAAGGGAACGTCACCATCTAAAAATGGATAATTAACGATAGGAAATGAAAAATCATCTCTTTTATCATATATTTTAGTATTAAGCTTTCCGTTAATTATATAGATATCAAGATCGAGGAAAGGGGTCATTGTTAGTATTAGCTTTATTTAAAGTAAGTTCAACAGGATAAATTTCTTTAGTATACATACTGAAGTCGTCATTATTGAGAGCCAAAATATCATCCAAATATCTAAAAGTATTATTAAATTTGTGTATCAGATGTTGTTTCGATGGGTCTTTACTGATTTTTGTCATAAATTGTAACTCATAGCAATACAAAAAAAGGGTCCGCAATAAGTGGTGCACAGTTAGTCCCCATCGGAATTCCGATAACCTGACGATATACGGAATCTCCAAAGCGAACAAAAATGTTATCTAGTAAAAATTCAAGGGCATATATAGTATCAAAGCATGTCCAATTGACATATTTTTTTTGTTTATTGCTACTAAAAAATGACCTAAAAGAGTTTGAACATATATATTCACATTCTGACTTTTTAAATGCCCATTTAATAAGTTGTGTGATTTTTTTCTTAATGAGAATGTGAGGCAATGTGGTATATAGGGTAGAAAAATCAAAACTTTGAACAGATTCAAAATCACCAATATATGCATGCAATTTATCAAGTACTTCCAACGAGTTCTTGACACTCCAAAAGTAATTAATTCCACTATTTTCGAAGGCCTTATTTGAACAATTTATTTGCATTTGCATGTATATTTTATCTAAACAGTTTAATGGATATTTAAAAAAAAAGGTATGAATGTAATTTTGAAACAACAAAACTGATGGAAAAAAAAGTAAAGTCACAAAAATACTGAACTCCGGGGAAAATTTTAAACGGAAAGTCCCTAATCAAATGGCAAAATCAAATTATGAAACACATCAGACGAATGGACAACAACTGACATATTCCTGACTTGGTACAGGCATTGTCAAATGTAGAAAACGGTGAATTGAACCTGGTTTTATAGCGCTAAACCTCTCACTTGTATGACAGTCGCATCAAATTCCATTATATTTACAACGATGCGTGACCAAAACAGACATAATAGGTTAAATTGTCAAAATAGTGATACAGCGTGTTTGACGTCTGAATGTAAACGTCACACAGGAAGAGATATAAAATAATTTGTCGTTCAAAGTATTTTCAAAATTATAATAGAACAATCACATAATGGCATTATAATAGAACAATTACATAATGGCGGGATGTTTAAAAGTACAGAGCCACGTCATATGCACCAAAGAAACACAAAAATTCACATGTACAAAACACACCAGCAGAAATTAAAGATAATACAAACAACACATTGACGGGATGTATAAGTACCGAGCTACGTCAAATGAATATCACCGAAATCAGACCAAACAGTAAAAGCAATATTAATAATAGAACAAAGACAAATAAAAGAACAATATAACACGTTATTAAGATGATAAACAAGTCAGTACGCAGAATCTACACACCAAGACCATCATGCATTATTTGTGAAGTTGATACTGAATATTTATCAACAAGGTCTTGGTACCTTCCGATGATTTTTTTTTCGAAAAAAGGACGAGACGTTCTTTGACATACCCCTGGTTCATCAACTTTCTGCTCAGACAATGGTGACGTTTTACAAAGTGAGTAGAGGCTGCAAGCTCTTGAATATCGAATAAGTTGGGAAATGTATATCTCATATGCAGGTGAAGGCGGTATATTGCTTCTAAGGTGGGGGAAATTGATAATTTAAAAATTTAAATAGTCTCGTTTGTCATAGATTCTCGTACTGAGATAACTGTGTATGTCAAATTCGAGGTATAAGTCTAAAAATGAGGCAGAGGAAGCCGTTTCTGTTCCTTTTAGTGTCCGTTTCTTTAAGTTCTAGTTCTAGGGGATATATTTATGGAACCCAATCAGTAAAGTTCGTATTGTTAATGGAAAGAACATCATCAATACTTCCGAAAGTGAAATTAAATAATCTGGATTCTTTGATATTCTTGTTTTTGACAAGTGTCTGAAGGAACTCTGATTCATATGAAAATAAGAAGAGGTCGGCAAGGAGAGGCGCACAGTTCGTTCCCATAGGAATGCCGACAATTTGTTGAAAAAGTCTCCCTCAAAATTCAACAAATATGTTGTCGATAAGAAACTCCAGCATACTAACCACTTACTCTTTTGTGTAGCAAGTTTTACCCTTTTGTTCACTATTAACAAGATATGCCTTATGTATCCCAAAGTAATACACTTATAGTGTATGCTACCATTTTTATGTTGAAAGATCGTTTGATACGCGTCTCCTGCTTTGCATGCACAAATTGTCATGGGAATTCTGACTCAATCAAATTGTCATGGGAATCCTGACTCAGTCAAAATGTCACAATCCGTAATAGGATAAACGGTAAATTTACAGATTAAAACACTATTCAGGCAACCAAAATATTGATTTAATTTCCTTTACCATAATAAGGGTTAGATTACTAGACAACTGTTAATCTCGTGCATTTTCCCATTTATCTCCAATTTCACAATGCATATGTTATGAAAACACAATGCTCGCCGATTATACAAGACATCATTTGTGCCGATTGACATCTAGTCAATCTAACTAATTCATTAATCAACCAATCGAGATTGGTCTATAGCAAGTTGACATTCTGATATTTAACAACATAAAATCACAATATCATGAATAGCTCAGAGTTTTGTTTCGAGGGTCTTTGATGATATTGAAGAAGAAACCCGCGTGTGGCGCAAATACAAAATTTCAATCCTGGTATCTATGATGAGTTTATTTATTCAGAATTCAGAATGTTTAAGAAGATAATGCTAGGAAGAAACGATTTTTGTAGAAAACAGATTACATTTTTTCCGAACATTTTTATATATTTAGACATTGTTAGAGGTAAGAAATTTAAGGACTATACTTATACTAGAATTATCATGGCTGTAATATTTATGAACCAAATCTATGTATTAATTTCACAATTAAATTATTGCTTAATTCATATGTTTGTAAGACTGATTCATCATACATTGGTTTTTTTTTCAAATTTACCTTTGGTATAAAATGATATTTCCAGCGTCAAATGATAGGTTATGTACGCTGATTCCAAAAATATATGGTTTCTATATAAACAAATTTAAATAAGGGAGAT